GCGTGTTTCGTTTCATGATGTCGTCTCAGATTACACTATTTCAATCGCGCCACACTTTCTCCACACAGAAGACACACAGGTTTTCCAGCTACGTCCATGAACATGTTCTTCGACTCTCACCTTGTTTGAAACCCCCGGTTCTCAGTGTCCACCTTCCGTTTTGCCATTTTTGATGGGTATCTGAAAGCTAATGTCACTGTTATGGGAACGACTGCTAGACGAATAAATATTTAAATAAAGCGGCCGACTGCTTGGCGCGTCACCGTTGCATTGTGGGAAATGTAGTTTTGGTGCGTGTAAAAGATCTGCGGGCTCTCGGCTTGCTGCGGTCCGCGGGCCGGTTCTAATAATAAATCAATATCATCCCAGGGGCCACTGAAAACATTCTCGCGGGCCGGATTTGGCCCGCGGGCCGGCACTTTGACATATGTGTGTTATAGATTCATGAAACGGAAAAGCCTGTCTATTAGGGCACGCACGACATTGTGTCAGCAGCTCCCTCCCAATTACGAGGACAAACCTGCTTCGTTCCGCACATTCACACAAAGATAGCGGAGAATTCCATCAGCCCAGATGAAATAATAAATATGGACAAAGACCCTCTGACATTTGATTTGCCTCTCACTCGGACTGTAAATAAAAAAGGTGACTTCCCCCGTCATACTGAAAACAAGCGGCCACGAGAGAACACATTTTACCTGTGTTTTGAGCCGCGCAGCATCGGGCCTAAAGCTGCCAACGATGATCATTTTTAAGCGGCTGACTATAGAAATAATTTCATATATCTTTTCCCATTTATATGATTTGCATTATTCTATTTAGAGCCGAGTGGGCTGCAGTATTTCTCCTCGTAATTACCGGTATATATATAGAATACCTTCAATTAAATGGTTTGATTAGAAAAAAATAAATAAATCAGGAGGCAAACGGGACCCCGGCATTGTACCTGCTGTAAGCAGAGACTAGAGTGTGGTGTTAGATTTGCGTCACCATTACAAGCACTTAAGAGGAAATTTTGAGCACAAAAGTGTGTTCGGAGCCCAGCCGACTTGGGACACAAAGAAGAAACGGCTAAACAAATGAACAAGAAATGCACGCACGCATGAGCGTGTGGCATACACGTGCAGACAGTGTGGCAAAACCAGTCGAGTCAGTACAACTCGTGCAATAAAATGATATTGTGCATACTAATCCAATTAAACACCTCCGGATGAATACCTGGTGTAGGAGTAAAAAAGTTCCCTGTCTCCGACGTTGCTATAGCTGCGGTACATACTTTGTTCACCAGATTTCGCTTTTCTCTTGTTTCAGTGGCTGAATCAGGAAAATATCATTCAGAGGCTTGTGGACATGGTTCAGCCATCGCTTGATGAAGATGTAAGCTTAACACTGTTTTTTTTTTCCCCTCCACTGCAATTTAGATGTCACATCAGGAAAATATCATTCAGAGGCTTGTGGACATGGTTCAGCCATCGCTTGATGAAGATGTAAGCTTAACACTGTTTTTTTTTTCCTCCACTGCAATTTAGATGTCACTTTCACACTGGGAAACAGTCATGCAGATGAAACATTCTGCTGACATCTCTTCAACTTAACCTACTCTTCTGTTGAAAAAAATTTAATCAACTCTGAAATGCAACTATTTCTGAAATGGTTTATAAATGCTCGGCCATGACATTGCTGAACTCAATGAATAAAAGCATGCTGTATTGTCACAAGCTTCAGTTAGGGCTGGACGAGTAACAGCACATTTTTCTGGTTGCAGATGAAACATTCTGCTGACATCTCTTCAACTTAACCTACTCTTCTGTTGAAAAAAATTTAATCAACTCTGAAATGCAACTATTTCTGAAATGGTTTATAAATGGCCATGACATTGCTGAACCCAATGAATAAAAGCATACTGTATTGTCACAAGCTTCAGTTAGGGCTGGACGAGTAACAGCACATTTTTCTGGTTGCAGATGAGCAAGTAGTTGAAAAATCTACTTGCGCTTGTCCCAAAGTTTGGGGGCAAAATGCAACCATTTATAGACAGTCTGGAGCACTATATCAGTTGCAACATTTTTGCAAATCATTGTATTCTGTTTGTATTTACATTTTACACAACTACCCAACTCAGAGATGAAAGTCCTCCGGATTCTCCCGGAATTCCGGCTTTTCAAATTTGAATGAAAATTTCTCCGGAGAATTGAGGAAAAATTGCCTAAAATTAATCCGGATATTAGTTGACAGCATTGAACGAACACGCTTTTAAGTTCGTTGTTTTGCTTTCACGAGCGTAGCCATGTTGAGGCACTAACACTAGTAACCGTAAAGAGATTTTTGTCTCTTTATAAACACACTTGCTAAACCCCTGTTGAACGAATAAAAGACGCCGTGGACAAGACAGTTGTCGTAAAAAATATATTTGGACAAAAAGGGAAACACAGATCGGCAGAAAAACGTGTCGGTCCGACTTCGAGTGTCGTCTCGGCTAGCTTAGCTTAGCTGTTGTCGTGTGTGACGTCGGTTGCATCGGCACTGATTGGT